AGGAGGGATGCAGGAGCAGGGGTTGCTCCCGTGCTGTTTGCTCTCTCTCTGCCCTCTCCTGTGCCAATCAATCACTGGAGGGTTCCCAATGCTGCCCAAATTCCTTCTCCTGGGAGTCTGAGGGGCTCCCCTGCCCTTTCCTCTGGGATTGAGGGATTTCCTGTGGTGTCTCTCCGGGACATGAGGGCACTAACCAGGCTGTGCTTTCCCCCAGACCCTGTCCATGGCCTATCTCACTGCAATGCTCTCCAGGTGGGTTGGGCACTGTCCTGTGTCCTGTCTCTTCCCGAAAACATTCCTTATTCCTGAGGCACCACCTTATTCCTGGGCCACCTGAGCTGTCACACAAAGCTGCAGCTTCCCTGTGAAAACACTTTCCAAGGAAGGTTTCCAAGGCCTGTCCCTGTCCCAAGGGAGGCAGCACTGGGGGATTCCCGCATCCCAAATCCTGCAGGAGAGCCATGGAGGGCCGGGACAGGGCAGCACTGGATGGGCTGGAGGCGACCAGCCAGTGATCCCACACTTCTCACTGGGCAGGTCCCAGGCAGGTGGGGCTGCACTGAGCCAGGAATTCTTTCCAGCAGTTTCAGGAATTTGTGTCCCACAGCCCGTTCCCTTCCGCTCATTTGCACCGGGAAATCTGCTCCTGGCTCACGTGGGAGTTGGAGAGAGGGACACGATCCAGGGTGGGTGAGGGATGTGTTGGGACAAAGAAATCCGCAGCCTCAGCAGCTCCAGGGGGAAAACTCCAGTGACTCCACACAAATCCCCCCAGGGAGAGCAGCACTGGCTTTTCCAAGGGCTGAGCCTGGCACTGCAGCCAAAACTCTGATCCAGCCTGGAAACCATTCCAGCCTGAGTCTGCAGCCCGTCCTGCTCCAGTCCCTCCTTCCTGCGCTTTTCCAAAACCTGGACTCGGCAGGAGCCCAGGGGCTGCTCCTCTGGTTTCCCCTCACACTGAGGTGACTTTTGTCATCCTGGTTTTGTTACCTCCTCGTCAGGATCCTCCCCATTCCCTGTCTGTGGACAGTGGGATTGATGGACTTGGAGCTGCTCCGAAGCTCTGGGAGGCCCAGATGGACCCTCCTGCCTTCCCTCCATCCTTCAAAACAGCAGGAAAACCCATCCTGCCGTTTTTCTCTCCTTTTTTAACATTAGTGTGGAATATTGATAATTCCAGTGCTGTTTGTGCCCGTAGGATTTATGATTTCCTTGCCCAGCTCCCGCCTGTCTGACCCCCTTTCCCATCCCTGTGGGAATGATCCAAACGTGGTTTTCCTGGTCATTTTGCAGTTACTACAACACCAAGTCGGTGCTGCTGTGCCTGGGGATCACGGCCCTGGTCTGTCTGTCTGTCACCATCTTCAGCTTCCAGAGCAAGGTGGGGCTGCGGGGACCTCCCTGGGGAAGGGACATCTGGGGCAGGACAGGAGCCGGGGGTCTGGGAGGGTCTGGGGGGCTCTGGACACAGGACCAGCCCGAGGGACGTGGGGGTGTCACGAGGAGGTCGGAGTGGAGCAGGACACGTGCTGGGGTGGGATGTGGCTGGGATGTAAGGGGGGCTAGAAGATGCTGATAACTGGGAATAAAATGAGATTTTTGTGGCTTGGGGTGGGAGCTAGAAGATGCTGATATATATGGGAATAAAAAGAGATTTTTTTGTGGATTGGGGCATGCCATAAGTATGAATGGGACTGGAAGTTGCTGACGTGTGGGAATAGTCCGGGATTTTTTGAGGATTGGGATGTGTCAGGGATGTCAGTGGGGCTGGAAGAGGCTGCATGGTGGTAAAAGGGGAATTTCGGCGGGTTGGGCTGTGGGATGCAGGAGGACACACGTGTGTGATGGATTTGGGATTCCTGGTGCGTGGCGGGGCCCGAGCCCTTCCCGGTGGCACTGACGGGGATTTGGGAAGCGCTGGCTCAGTGCCGGGGGTGGCTGCGGGGATGGAGAGGCAGAACCAGCTGCGGGTGGGTTCCAGAGGGACTCGGGAGCCCTCGGCAGCCCTGGAACGGGAATTCCTCCCTCCCGCCGCAGTTCGACTTCACCTCGTACCAGGGCGTTCTCTTCGTGCTGCTCATGGTGCTGTTCCTGGGCGGGCTGGTCCTGGCTGTCATCCTGCCCTACCAATACGTGAGTCGCCAACTGGGCCAAACTGGGCCAAGCTGGGCATGCTGGGAGGGGGCCCCAGCTCCCTGGAAGTGGGCAGGAACCCCGTGGAGGGATGGAGGAGCAGGGTCATTCCCGGGATGGACCATGGTATGGCTCAGGGATGGAACTGCCCAGGGCTGAGGGCGTGTCCTGCTGCTCCTGGTGATGGAATCACGGAATGATTTTGGTCGAAGCCCATAAAATTCCACCTCTGCCATCGACACGGACACCTCCCAGTGTTCCAGGCTGCTCCAGCCTGACCTTGGGCACTTCCAGGGACCCAGGGGCAGCTACAGCTGCTTTGGGAAATCCATTCCAGAGCCTTCCCAACCACACAGGGAACAATTCACAATTCCCAATATCCCATCCATTCCCTGTGTCCCGTGCCTCCATGTCCTTGTCTCCAGACCCTCTTCAGCTCTTCTGGAGCCCCTTTAGACCCTGGAAGGGCTCTGAGCTCTCCCTGGAGCCTTCTCCTCTCCAGGTGAGCACCCCCAGCTCTCCCAGCCTGGCTCCAGCCCTCGGAGCAGCTCCGTGGCCCCCTTTGGGCTCATTCCAACACATCCATGCTCTTCCTGCGCTGGGATCCCCCTGGGTGCAGATGGGGTCTCACCTGAGCACAGGTGCCTCTGCTCAGGCCTCAGTTTCCCCTCAGTAAAACCAGGCACATTAAAATCTATCCCAAGGCAAGGGCACAACTTGGTCAGGATTAACACCCGGCACCTGCAGAGTTCAGATCTTGGGGCCTCCATTTCTCAGTGACCGTGAGGTCTGAGTGACCCTCAGGAGCCAGGT